TTTGCCAGTTTATTCCTGGTTTCCACTTGTTTGAGTCAAGCTAATTTGTCAATGTGCGTTCGCACTGCAGCCTGAAGTGACCCAATTCCGATTTTTTTGACATAATGCGACCTGTATCTGATCTTTTCATGGCAGTGTGAACAGCACAGGTCAGATTCTTTTTCGAATGTGACCCGTATCCGATACATATCCGATTCAAATGCGACCTAACGTCCAGGTCACATTCATCCGAACTGAACGTCACTGATTCTCAACAAATCTCACTGTTCTGCGTCCTGATTTGCGCAAGCGGGTAGAAAAACAACAACCATGACGGATTATATGAGGATTAAGTTGTTAATATGCTTCTCTAGCTGGACAACAACTTCAAATATGTAAGCTAAGCTCCACCGTTAGCCTCCATGTTTACTTCCGCAAACACTGAGCACTACTTCTTTTTATGGCGGTTGGCAGAACACTGAGAACGCTGACGCTATTGCGCCCTCTACTGCGCATGCGGGACACTTTCAGGTCGTTTGCCCGTTCAGACCAAGTACAGACTGCAGAACACGTACAGGTCGCAATTACTGGCAGTGTGAACGGCCCCGGCAGAAAAATCGGAATTGAGACAGTTGGGGGTTCAGACAATGCACTGCACCCAAACTTAGGTCTAAAAGTGGTTAGGAATCCATACAGAAAGCTAACAAGTTACTCTGACCTCAACTCTATTTATGGACGGTGCTGAAAAGCCACTTCAGTACCAGGAATCCAACAAATTCAAAAAGACCCATCATTTCTGATGCTAACATGCACATTTTTAAAGAAATATTTAACCAAATATCTACAGAAGTACATGTATATATTTGAGCCTGTGTGGACTAATGAAGAGTCACAATAAATACAAATTGTTTTTTTAAAAACTAGTGTTTTACATAATCAACTGATCTCCCAAAAAGACAATTAAAACTTCATTAACGATTTAAAAGAGTTTGGAAGTGCAGATTGTAACATTTCCTATCACTGTGTTTCAGTAGCATTTGGAAACAGATGCTTTGCAATGATTTAAATTACCTAAAAGAAAATCGCTTCCTGCACAATTTCTGGTTTTCTGCTTGCAGCTACTTAAAAAGTCTACCACACAAAATATGTCACGTAGTGCTTACTGTCGACACACTTTGACTTAATCTAAATTAAAATTAAAGCAGGGTGCTTAGGAGGCGAGTAATCTGTTCAGAGGTTAGAGACATGGCATCTCACTACCCTTTCCCCGCCTGCTCTCCCCTTTTGCTCCCCTTCTCTTTTCATTCATGTTGCTGGTGCTGGAGCTGGAGCAGGAGCTACTTGGTAATAAATGGCATTAATTTCACCCCTACAAAAAAAACAGGCTCATTTTCCAGCCCATTACTCCAATCCTCTGTCAGAGACAAAGCCTTGAAGCTGGCTGTTCGGAAAGTGGGCGGTAAAGTAGAGCATCTACAAGGGAACATACAGTACATGACAATAACACGGCCGCATGAAAGAGAGAGGCAGACGGTGTGAAAGAGTGTGCATCATTACAAGGTTGGAGTGGACGGCACAGAAAAGCAGGATGGGTAGAGGGAGACATGTTGGTTCATGGAGACAAGAGGTCTCATTTGGTTTACAAAATCTGAAAAAGTAGACTATCTGACTTTGGGGCTTGCATTTTAGACTAATGAGACGAGATTTCAGGCTGAAAATAAAACAAACAAAGAAAAAAAAAAAACAGGAACCAGGAAAGACTCAAGAACCGAAATTCCACAGTAACTATAAAGGTAATAACAGAGCAAGTGAGTGGTGTGATTTAAAAATAATTTCTGGTGATAAATCACATTTCATTTGGAGGAATTTCTGGAGGAATTATTCATAATGAGGTTAAACTAGAGCCTTATTTTGAAGGAGACCTCCTAGTAAGAACTTTTAAAGCCAGTGATTACTGCCCATTACCGCTAATTACACAGAACAAGTTGTACACTTAAGTTTCTAGGAAAGGATTGCTTTTACAGCTACTCTATTTTGAGTCTGATACAATAAATGTGTAATAAATAGGCAAAGCAAGGCAAATTCATTCATACACAAAGCAATTTACAGGACATTGAAATGACAAAAATGATCTTAGTCTTGCTTAAAACCAGATTTCAATATCAAATCCTTGACAACTGAATTAAAATTTTTATTTTTCAACAAGTAGTTAAAAAATATAGAAATTCAAGAAATTGTTAAGCTCTGTAAAAGCATAGCTGGTTGTTTTTAATCTCCCTCTCCAATCACTGATCAGCGATGGTGCAAAAGGTTTACCATGGAGATCTTTAGATCACAATGAGCTGTAAACAACTCCGGTTTTCAGTCGTGATTCAAAGGAGACGGCATCAGTGAGAACCTGCTGATTGGTGTGACCTGATTCTGGTGTTGGTCAGGACTCTGGCTGCAGCATTTTGGATGATGCTACAGCATCTTGAGTGTAAAGTCATTAATCTAATCTACAGAAAATAAAAACCATGAACTAGTGTTTCTGTGTCGTGTGTTGACGTGAAATTCTTTATTTTGGCAATGCTTCAAAAATGATAATAGACCAATTTAGTCATTTAGATTTACATTGTTGTTAAACTAAACTTCAGGGTTTATTTAATGTTCTGTGTCGTTTACTCTCTGTTGGCTCTTTGTAACTGAACATAGTCTCTTAAGGCTTTTATTGCTGTTGTTCCAGCTGAAGTCCTGGCTGTTTTTAATCAAGCTACATATTTTATGTTTCAGGATTTTTATACTGAAGCTGTTTTAAAAACTCCTTCATAGTTCTTAAGCAGTCTTAAGATTTTGTTAATTTACTTTTAGCTGCAGACTACAGAGAAACGCTGCTGTCTTGGTGCTTTTGCACCTTTTAAAAATCATTTGATAGTTTTGGCTCACATGTTGAGCTGTTTGCAGGGATTGAATAGTGTGGTAAATTGTTCCAGTTATATCAAGTAATAAATAGTTTTTCTGTCCATATAGGTCAGTATATTGTCCCACAGGGATCCAGTCTGGGCCCGTTTCTTTTTTCTATGAATCTGCTGCCTTTGGGTTAATCTTTGAATATTATATTTAGGCTTTTTAACAATTTTGAATATGGTGATCAAATTAACCTCCCACTGAAAGTGAAATGGGACATTACATCTGTTTCAATGACAATAAATCCTGAATCAAAACTTTTAAAGTTTTCATTAAAACACTGGAATGATTATTATGCGTTTACCACCTTTAGGTGTGCTGACCTCACATGACCTCCCTGCTGTCAGAAATCTAGGTTTGTTTCTTGACACTTACAGTATTTTAAGCTGAAAAAAAAAAAAACATTTCAGTAGTAAATTCCTCCTTGTTGGTTTTATCTGAGGATTTTAGGAGAGGTAAAGTCTTACATTCTTAATAATGATACTGAGTATCTAGATTTTTAACACATAAATGGTTAAATCCACTGACTGGCTGAAACTGATGTGTAATGCTGTAACTTGCCCCTCTACACTGGATTCCTGCAGATTTTCAGAATACAGTTAAAGTTTTGAGCAGTTGCTGTGACTAGAGAAGTGCTAAAGTCTGAGGACTGGAGTCATCAAGTCGGTAAAAACCGCAGCTTTGAAATTAAAAATAATGAGTGAGGGAGCTTTTTGGGCTGCTGCTCCTAATGCTCTACCTCTACTACTTACTGCATTTTTTTTACAGATTTTTACACTCATTCTATTTAATCTGTTTTAAAATTAAAAAGCTAATTTATCCATATTTACAAGCTGTTTCTACATATAAATTTGCTGCTCTGTGTTTCTTGTTACCCTGTGTACTGCAATTTGTGAAAGCATGGAGTTTCTTTGAGTGTAAATGTGCTATATAAATACATTTGAATTATTTGACTTTGGATCCTTTCATTTGGATGTTTTCGATAACCTGAAAAAGGTGGAAGGACAGATTAACAAGCTGTTTTTAATTTGTCTTTCTGGACTACTTAGGTAATGACACAGAGTCAATCCACTAGACCTGATATGCAAAACAAAAACTCAAAACTGTATTAACTTTTCAATCATTATGAACAAGACACCAGAAAAAGACCCCATTTAACATGTAGCTGCACTTCTTTTCAGTGCAAGTATTCAAACTGAAAACAGACATGTTCATCTATAAGAAGCTGAATAAAACCATCAATAAACAATTTGACATGTTGCATTTTAAGATAAGCTCATGCAGACTCACCTGAAATCCCCCTTGTTGTTGGAGACTCTATCTGTAGGGCAGTACGGGGCAGAAGTCTCCACCACCACTATTTCCATGTGCTGAGATGCGTTTCCTCTGGAACTGGTCACCAGACACTCCCAGTTGCCGGCGAGAGCCACATCAATGTTGGAAAGGATCACCTCACTGGTGGAAAGGAGAGAAATATGAGAGTGTGAATTTAAATAGCCTGTTTTGTGGCTTGAGTACTGGAGATTTATCTGTAAGCTTTAGACATCTTTCATCCAGTGTGTGGATTAAAATATTCAGTGTTGATTTAGGATATGGATTTCAATTTATAATTAAATGTAATAACGTTTTGGAAGGGTTTTGTTTCTGGACTTAATTCTGTGGTGTTTGGATCATTTTGGGATTAGGCCGATGAATGCAGTCAAACACCAGAGACAATATGTGTCTCACAAAGTCTAATTCATTTAAGAGACCCTTGTGGGAGTGTGTCTATCTGAGTATGTGGCAGCTTAAAATGTTGGCTGGGACTTAAGATGATTATTACTCACGCTCATCTTCCCTACTCTGAAACAGAGATTCATATCCCAGCAGAAAATGTCTGATTAAACAAAAGATGGTGAAACAGTGACAATAGAAAGCATTCACCAAGGAGACTAATCTCGAGGATTTTTACTCACTCTGAACAAAAAGGGGGAGAAGTCGGCAGAGATCACTAAGCAACGCGAATAGTCACCATGGAAATGCTGCTTCTTTATAAAGTGGGAGCTGTTTAAGCTCCAGGTCCAACACAGAATAATTGTCGGTCATTTTTTGCAAAAAGTGTTTTTTCCCCACCAAAATCATCTTTTGTCAATAAAGAGGTGGTCATATATGTGTTATTTAATAAAAATGTAAATATCTATTTCATCAGATTTTATCTTTTTTCTATCATTCACTTTATACCTTTATGTACATACATAAATAGAACAATTACTTAGAACTTGCAGCATTACAAACAATTATTGTACAAGCCTCCCACCCATGACTGTTGTAAAAAAAACAACTAATTTCCAAACTTTCTCTACCTTTACCATGACATATATGCATATATTCAATGGAAAGTAGTCTGGGACAAAATTATTTAAAAGAAATAATCAATAAACTTCAACATTATTGTTGTTTAACAGTCCAATTCAGCATTTAGTCTTCTTAAATTCAGACCCATCATCAATCTTTGTGTCTGAAAAAAATATGTGCATGTGTATTTCTGCATTAAAACGACATACTATTTATATAAAAGATTAAAAACTGTGCAAACAACAAAGATGTGCGAACGCCAGTAGAAATATTGTTTAAAATGAGTAAAACTTACAATCAGGCATTTAAGCACTTATTGAGTTTTTTGGGAGCGGAGATGATCATAGAGTCTAACAGCTGCTGGGAGGAAGCATCTCTTATAAAGCTCTTTTGTGCACTTAGGATGCAACAGTAATAAAGAGGAGCTCTTCAGTTCAGCAATATATTTTAATTAACTGAATATGTCACAATGAAAGTAGAGAAATATGTGAAATATATTTGTCATGATTTCAAAATTCAACTGCGGTGTATAGACCTTTGAAAGCCACTGTACAACTAAACAACCAAGAACCCAAAGAAAAGAACTTATTCCCAATTTAATTATGGGAAATGTGTGTGTGTGTGTGTGTGTGTGTGTGTGTGTGTGTGTGTGTGTGTGTGTGTGTGTGTGTGTGTGTGTGGGGGGGGGGGATAGAGACTGGCGCACAACGCACACATAAACACAGGAGCGCCCAGGTTGG